TGTTCAGAATGGTTTGATCCCTATTCAGCTGAATTCCTGAGACCAGACGAAATCCAGGTCTCCTACTCCTCCGCCATCTTGCTCCGCCCCCTTCTCTTTTTTTAATTAAGCCTTTAGTTATAGTCTCTGAAGCATTCTATTGAGACACATTCAGTACTGAGATGAATACAATGCTTATAATAATTATTAAATGACAACTTCTGGAGAGCTAATCCTTTTTAATAACTGCCTATTTGAATAATTTTATTGTTTTTTATATAACAGACTCTACCAGTGAGATCTGCTGAATAATGAACATACAGACTGCCTGTGCTTCATTTACATGCCAATTGTCATGCTCATGGGAACTAAGGCAGTGTCATCTCTTCATTCCTCCTGATCCTTGCCATTTCTGAAGCTGACTTGATGACCATTCCAGATCACCAGTGCACATGCATAACCCCCAACCTGACCCACCTTCTTCTTAGTTGCCCTAGTGCCAGTCCAGGGCAATGCCTGCTTTCAGGAGATAAAAGAGGGGAGGGCTGTTTCATCATTCATCAACATGCCCCAGAACTTCTTGCTCCTCCCAAATCTACCTTGCCCCTCAACACGATATCTTAGTTCTTCATCTAGAGACAGAGCTTTGGGTTTACATCCAAAATGGTAATGGGTCTTTACTAAAGTAAACTGTTATTTACATACAAGGAATTACAGAAACAACACTTTATTAAGACTGCTTGAGGGGCGCGTGGGTGGCTCAGTTGGTTAAGCGACTGCCTTCGGCTCAGGTCATGATCCTGGAGTCCCAGGATTGAGTCCTGCATCAGGCTCCCTGCTCAGCAGGGAGTCTGCTTCTCCCTCTGACCCTCTCCCCTCTCATGCTCTCTCTATCTCATTCTCTCTATCAAATAAATAAATAAAATCTAAAAAAAAAAAAGACTGCTTGAAAATGTAACTTCCCTTCATTTATGTTTATACTCCTAGTTTGTTTCACAGGATGGCTTATAGTAAGACTTTCAAAAAGACCCAGAAGGGTGTTACTTCATTTTGGGACCAAAGTTTAAAGACAAGTTTGAGGGATGCCTGGGTGGCTCAGTCGGTTAAGGATCTGCCTTCGGCTCAGGTCATGATCCCAGGGTCCTGGGATCGAGTCCTGCATTGGGCTCCTTGCTCGGCGGGGAGCCTGCTTCTCCTTCTGCCTGTCGCTCCCCCTGCTTGTGCTCTCTCTCTCTGACAAACAAATAAATAAAATCTTAAAAAAAAAAAAAAAGAAGGAGTTTGAGCCGATGCCCTGTTCTTTGGGACCAGGGAGGAAAGAAAATAAATACCATAATCTTGATGAGAAGCAAACAGTGATGGTAGTGAAGAAAAAATAACAAAAAACAAAACAGGAAGGATATTTTAATAAAGCCAGCCTCACTATCCATAACAGAGGTACATGGGAACATACAAAACTCACTCACAACCTCTCTTATCTTGGCCATATCAGCCCCACTATCATACACTATTTGCCAAGCAATGGAAATGCCAACCTGCTTCAGTGAGAAAGATGGAAAACTGTGAGTTTAAAAGAAAGTTTTTTGACCCATTTCCAGGGCACACCAAATTTGAAACCCTAAATGCAATTTCTTATAGGAGCATTATTTATGGTTATAAAGTGCTGAAATATTCTAGAACTAGATAGCCATATATATATATATATATGACCTAAGCCAATCCACCCTTGGAGTACTGACCTTCATTATAGATACTGGACTGTTAACAAGACTGACTTTGGTTTCTTACATTGCATAGCCAGCAATCTATCTATCTATCTATCTATCATCTATCTATCTATCCATCTCTCTCTCTCTCTCTATATATATATATAATTTTCATTGAGTTAGCCTAGAGATTGAACCAACATGGACTTGCAAATAAAAATCAGAAAAAAAATTTCTTTTTAGAAGTTTGCAAATGCCATAATCATGTTTCAGTTTTATTAAATATTTTTAAAATGCAAAATAAAATATATACTTTACTGGAGAGTATCAGTAGCACAGATGATTTAAGAAGAAAAAAAGTTTTCTAAATATATTTTGCCAGAAAAAATATTGTCTTAAATTCCATCTTCCTCTTCCAAAAGATTCCCTTAGCGAAAATCATGAAAGAATGGCATCATATATCGTATTGGGAAAAAGATTTCAAATCTATGATAAACCAAAAGTAAATAATTTAATTATAAATATCTGAGAGTTGTCTGCAGAAACTACCACTCATTTTGGTGTCTGAAATTCAATTGTGTCACTCCCAGTGGAAACCCTTCCTATGTAATGTAAGAAACCAAAGTCAGTCTTGTTAACAGTCCATTTTCTATAATGAAGGTCAGTAGTCCAGGGGTGGATTGGCTTAGGTCATTAAATCTAACCTCAGTAAATAGTAATCAATAAGAGTGAAAGAAAGAATATGTCACAAAGAGAAAAAGAACATACTGAGGGATGGTTTATTCTACAAAACATGAGGGAAAAGAGCAACATGGAAAAACAACTCGTCTGTGCTACCTACATAATTTTAATTTTTTAATTAGCATCTTTCTTCTCTACCCGTGTTTTAAATCCTGATCCCAGAGTATTATAAACATCACAGAGCTGATGATCCAGAAATGCTCTATCAAGTCTTGTTTTTAAGGAAAATATGCACATAGTCTATATACTTACTGGAGATGTTGATACTTGGGTTATTCTTAACTGGCTTTCCAAATCTTGTACTTTGTTTTTAAGTTCCATATTTTCGGTTTCTAAGTCTTGAATCTAAAAAGCAATGATTATTGAATAACCTTCAGAAATTTATTCTTGGAAAATATTGGCCATCATATTGGCTACATTAATGAATAGGATTTTATATTATTTAAAATTTTAACATATTCTTGTGCATAGGGGAGAAAATCATTTGATAAAGGTTGGGGACTATCAGGAAATTCTAGATCATTGGAAAGACCTTTTATTGGATTTAAAATATGTTTTTACATGTGTGCAAATTCCATGTTTCTAATACCTCATCTCTGTGTTTTCTGGTTGCACTGTACAGTCTGTTACCCATAATCTTGGAGTATAACCGCAAGACAGTGAAACTTGCTTATGATGACTTTGAAGACAGTGGAGAAAGGGTGTAATTTAATTACAAAGGAATCTGATCTGCATGGGAAACCACTTACCCAGCATCTGCTGCTTCTGCTGCTCTGATCCCCATGAGAAGCATCAGGAAGTGAAGCAAAGTCACATGAGAACACTAAGTTCTTGTGGGAATTCAATATAAAATGGTTAAAAACTGTGCAGGGGATCAGGAATGAAAAATTATAGGAACACAGTGAAAGCAGTTCCAATCAGTGTGGGGGAAATTTAATGGCAGGCCTTCTAAATTTGTTTGAGGATATGCAAGTTTCCCTGTACTTACATCACATAAACATGAAACAAAAAGTTTAGTTTACTCACTCTTTTCTGTAATCCTGCAATCTGTTTCCTTGTTTCAACATCTTTTCCTCCAGATTCTAGAAATTTCCTGTATGCCAGGTCAAATGCTTGGCCAATTGTTAAAGTTATTTCTTCAGCCTTTGTAAAAACCAAAGATTTGATATGTCAGACTGTTCTTTGAATCAAGAAAAACATTCACATGAGGTACTTCAAAGGGGCAATGGCTGCAGGTAGAGATGTGGTCAATGAATCAAGTCGTCTATGCTAACATAATTCAATGCCTATCCATGCACAAAATTTAAAAAAAAAAGCTTTGGTAATTAAATGAGTAGCTGTTGAAGTTGGAAGCAGGAGTTCTATCCACCTTCTCATCTATTTCATCATAGCATTTTTTCCTAGTTTGTTTTCCTTCTTTCCTCAAATATTTGGTGCCTATTAAATGAAAGCATGTTGCCAACTGCAGTTCTCTTGTTGCTTTACTACTTATTTCCTCTTCCTAATGAGGAGGGCTGGTTAAACCTGGCAGGTAACTCGAATGAGGCTGACCGGGTGGTGTCGTGGAAAACTTGAGGTATGCCCTCTCAAAGTGTAATAATCAGTTCCAGTTAATTGTTGGCTTGTGGAAATGAACAATTCCAACCCAGAGTTGTCAGATTTTAAATATGGGAGATGAGGTCAGAAATCTGAATTTTTATATGAAAACGCCCAATTGTAAATGATAGTAAACCATATTACTGTAAAACACAGTGCCTATTGAACAAAATATATCTGTTATCTGAATTTGGCCTCAAAAATAATTTAGTTTCTCGTTAGTCAACCAGAAACTGCCACAAATGTCCTAAGTCTACCAGTTCATTCCTTCCTCATTCATATCTTGACTGGGATCAGTGTCTTGCACAACGTAAACACTAAATAAAAATTTATTTATTTTATTAACATTTTATTAAAAAGATTAGTAAAGGCATTAATTGATTTAATACATCAGAAATGTCATATTTATTATAAGATTTCCAAATGACATAAAAACTGGTGGTAATATTAAATCTTGAAAATGCCATACTTTAACTTACGGCAAATCCTAAAGCTTTGTGATATGCTATGAACAATCTAAATTGCAAATATGCTTTATTAATAACAGATTTTTTTTAATGTTTCAAGATTTTATTTAAATTCTGGTTAATTAACATAGAGTGTAATATTGGTTTCAGGAATGGAATTTAGTGATTCATCACTTACATACAACACCCAGTGCTCATCACAAGTGCCCTCCTTAATCCCCATCACCCATCTAGCTCAACCCCTGCCCACCTCCCCTCCAGCAACCAATCTAGTTGAGTCTCTTTTATGAATAACACGGATTTAATTAAGACATTGTCATTTTTGTAGTTCACTATTTGTTTAAAGAATGCCTTTAGTATAAAAAAATATAGTTTAATCCAGTTAACTAAAAAATAAAAATATATTCCTAAAATTATATATAAGTACTATCTGTCTCACAAAAAAGGGGAAAAAAGAAGCTACATTAAGGAATATTACAGAAATGAAAACGCCAGATACCAAACTATGTGTGCTCAATGATTCCAACTAATGAAAAAGTACACATATAAAAAAATTAGTTGCATTGGTTGTGATCACATATAATATTAAAACATAGTAAATGTGGTTATAATAGATTGTGGGACTATCATTTTTTAAATCTCTAACTTCAAAACTTAAGGTAATGTGTTAGTATTTGTTTTACAATAATAAAGACATATTTGTAAATTATGGTTGTTTTTTCTACCTTCTTTATTATGGGTTCAGTGTGTCCTCCTCCTAAGACAGTATGTTACCCTCAAATACTCAAGGTGTACATTACAGAGAATTGTTTCAATGGTAGCAAGTTTGATTTATCATTAATAACATTTGACTTGATTATAATTGTTTACAATAACTTTTAAAAATCATATTCTCTTTTTATGATAAGACATATCTTTTGTGATTAAGACATCTTTTTATTAAAACAGCATTTAACTCCCCAGAAAATATTTTGCATACATTACCTCACTTGATTCTCATAATTAATCTATGAGGTAGGGATTATTATTATCCCCACAATACAAATGCAGCTTTAACTCTGTGAGATCTCAATTTGTGAGTGGAGAAACTGGATTTAAATCCAAAATTTTGACTCTACAAGCCCTCACACATTTTTATAAACAATAAAACATACAGATTATATTTGCACAATCAGATGTGCTTTGATAAATGTATATACCTATATAAGCACCATATCATTAAAGATATAGGATATTTCTATCTTCCTAGAAAGTTCTCCCATGCCTACTTGCAGTCAAATCACTTATCTTATGGGTAACCATCGCTAGAATTCCATCATCATAAATCAGTTTTGTCTGTTCTTGTATCCATAAAAATGAACCATATAGTATATATATATTCTTTTCTGTCTGGCTTCTTTTGGAGTTTCTTAGATGTTGTATGTGTCATTTGTTTTATTGTTGATTAGTGTCCCATCTAATGAATATACCAGATTGATTTATCTATTTGCCTATTAAGGAACACTTGCATTGTTTTCAATTCTTGGTTATAAATAAAACTGTTACATTCTTCTAAAATCTTTTTGTGGACATCTGTTTTCAAAAATCTGGATAAATATCTTCAATGGAAATGCTAAATCATAGAACAGCTCTATTTTAACATTACAAGAAACTACCAAACTGTTTTTGCAAAGTAATTGTCCCCTTTTACATTCCCACCAGCAGTAAGAGAGTTCTAGTTGCTCCTCATTCTCACCAATATCATATATTGACAGTCTTTTTAACTGGTCACCCTAACTGAATGAGTGATGCTATCTCAATGTGTTTTTAATTTGAATTTCCCTGTTGAATAATTACATTAGCCCAGTTCCATGAATGACTAAGATGAATTCCCCCCATCCGATCATTTAATGAAATATAAAGAGCAAGAATATTTGTTAAATTCAAAAAAATTTATTTCAAAAAATTATTACAAGGCAAACATGAAATACAACAAGAATATATAATAAATAGCTTACAAATAAAGCTTATGAAAAGACTGGGTGTAATGATTCCTTCTAGTAATAATAATTTATGATTCTTTTGACACATGAACCCTTTTTTACAATTAGTTAACAAGTAAGAGAGGTTTTAAACTTTGCCTTATACATCTCACTTCACATAAATAAAGGAAAATATGCTGGTGGGGTGAAGCTTTCATCATTTATTGGGGCTACTATTTAAATTTTATCAAGTGTAGAGGCTCCTGTGCAGTCAGTTAAGCAGCAGACCCTTGATTTTGGCTTGGGTCATGATCTCAAGGTCGTGAGATCAACCCCTGCATCAGGCTCCATGCTCTGCACAGAGTCCACTTGAGAATCTCTCTCCCTCTGCCCTTCCCCACTTGTACTCACACTCTCTCTCTCTCTCAAATAAATAAATCTTAAAAATATATATATCAAGTGTAACATCCAATGAATAAAGTATATTATATTAACATTTGGAAAAAAAATTGAAAAAATGATGGCTAAGGAGTTGATACCGATTGTATATTAATCTTATATTAAATAAACGAGATCAGTCACATCATAATGAGTATCTATATTGTAATTTTATTTTTTAAACTTAATGAGATCACTACAGTAGTTGTATAAATATTAAATCTTAACACATGATACTAATAAAGTGAGTTCTAATTTTGTAGCATACTAGGGTAGGGTTTCATCTGAATTTCAAACAAGCTCTTAGAAATTCACAGAAGTACTGAATATATAAAATACAAGGAATAAAGGGAATGAAGTAAGAGCAGAGGGACTCTGGAAAGGTCACAGTCATGGGAGTAATATAACATGGAAGATGGAAGAATGTGGAATGGGAATCTAGGGTCTCACACTGGACTTCTGATTCTATTGTTACCTAGCTTTCTGACTCTGAGAAAGGAACTAAATCTCTCTGGCCTAGATTTACTTAAAATAAGATGAAAATGAAAACAAAATATAGCCATAGTTTTTTTCCAGGTATTTTTTAGACTGATATGCAGTTATAAGAAATAATACAGAGAGATCATGGGTACCCTTCATCCACTTTCCCCCAATGGTAATATATTACAAAAACTATTGTACAAACCACACCAACTAATACTGATATTAATATAGTCAAGATACAGAATAATTCCATTACCACAAAACTGCCTCATCTTGCTGTTTTATAGCCACATCCTCTTTGTTTCCCCTTACCATGTCCTTAACTCCTGAAAAACACTAATCTGTTCTCCATTTCTTTAATTTTGTCATTTCAAGATTATAAAAACGGAGTCATACAGTATGTAAGCTTTTGGGATTGACTTTTTTCATTCCATAATTATCTGGAGAGTTACCAAGGTTGTTTCATGTATTAATAGCTCATTCTTTTTTCTTTCTGAGTAGTATTCCATGGTTTGGATATACCAGAATCTGTTTAACCATTCACCCATTATCTGAGATATTTGTAGTTTGGGGTTATTATGAATAAGCTGCTATAAACATTCATATGTAGGTTTTTGTATGAACACAAGTTTTTATTTCTCTGGGATAAATGCCCAAATGAGTCATATAATAATTGCAGGTTTAGTGTTTTTATGAAACTGCCAAATTGTTTACCCCAGTGTTTGTACCATTTTATATCCCAATAACTATGTACAAGTGAACCACTTTTCCATATCCTTGCCAGCATCTGGTATTGCCACTTTTTAAAATTATTTATTTATTTATCTTAAAGAATTTATTTATTTAATTGGGACAGAGAGAGCACAAGGGCAGGGGAAGGGCAGAGGGAGAAGCAGACTCCCTGCTGAGCAGGGAGCCCAATGCAGGGCTTGATCCCAGGACTCTGGGATCATGACCTGAGCTGAAGGCAGACGCTTAACTGAATGAGCCACCCAGGCGCTTCTATTGCCACCTTTTTTTATTGTAGTTTTTCTGATAATTGTACAGTGATACCTCATTTTAATTTGCATTTCCCTAATGGATACCAGTGTTAAAATCTTTTCGTGTGCTATTTGCCATCTGACTATGCTCTTCCATGAAACAATCCTTCATATCTTTTGTCCACTTTCCAATTTGATATTTTATGCTGTTGAGTTTT